GGAAAGGATGTAGTTTCGCTTGTGCAGAGGACACGAGACGTACTCTCGTCCTTTGTCGTCCTCGCCAACCAGACCATCTGCGAGCACAAAAGCACGTCGATGCGGGCACATGTTCTGGGCAGCTCGCACTCCGCGCCCCGGGATGTTCCATACCGCGATCTGGGTGTCGCCGTACTTGATCGTGGCAGACGATGGCGAGTCCACCTGCGGGTCCAGATCCGAGTACTTGCACACCGCGCGCCACTCCCACACTGCTTCCTTCGCCACATCGAGAATGCTGAAGTGCAAGGGACCCGACTCGGTCGGCCAGTCGACGGGACGCTGCTGCTCACGCTCGGACAGCTTTTCCGACACCTCCTGCGTCTCGTCCGTGTTGATGAACTGGCGGAACGCCTTTTGGCGCGCTGGATCACGCACAACCTTGGTCCATTCGCAGTGGTAGGTGCCTACCAGTACCTCCATCTCGCGCTCGAGATCCTGGCAGATGCCCAGCTTGTCATCGACAATCACCTCCTTGAGTCCCTTGAGTCCTCCGGGGAACTTTTCGATCCAGCGCGCTGTGCGCTCGAGCTTGTCGGCAGAGCGGATGTAGAAGAGGATAAAGCGATCCAGAATCTTGATCGCCTCGCGCCGCGTGACGTCCTCGGCGATGAGCTCGGCGTGGCGAGGCTTAGCGCCGCCGTTGCCGCCCACGTAGACGTTCCAGCCCTTGGTGGTGGCGATCAGGCCGAAGTCCTTGCCTTGAGCCTCGGCACATTCGCGCACACAGCCCGAGACACCGCCTTTGAACTTGTGCGGGGCGCGCAGACCCTTGTAGCGCGTCTCGAGCTCGTGTGCGAGGCCGACCGAATCACCGACACCGTATCGGCACCATGTGCTGCCCACGCACGACTTCACCGTGCGCAGTGCTTTGCCGTAGGCATGACCGGATTCGAAGCCGGCGTTGACGAGCTTCTCCCAGATCGCAGGCAGATCCTGCTTCTTGGCACCGAACATGTCGATGCGCTGGCCACCAGTGATCTTGGTGTAGAGCCCGTACTCTTCAGCCACCTCTCCAATCACCTTGAGCCCAGCAGGGGTGACCTCGCCGGCAGGCAGGCGGGGAACGACCGAGTAGGTACCGTCGCGCTGCACGTTGGCGAGATAGCGGTCGTTGGTATCTTGCGTCTGTCGCTGTTGCGGGTTCATGATCCAGTCGTTGTAGAGCGACGACAGGATCGAGCCAACTGCAGGACGGCATACCTCGCAGCCAAGGCTGTCGGCCTTCTTTCCAACAGCCTGCATGGCAGAAGTAAAGTCCTTGAGCTTCTTGAACTTGATGATCTGGTAGAGCTCCTGTCGGGTGTAGGCAAAGTGCGGGCACAGATGGTTGGAGATCTCGACACCTGCTTCTTTCAGTGCCTTGTTGAGGATGCTCTGGCTGAGCGGGAGACATCCTCCGCAGCCAGTGCCGCACTTGGTGGAGGACTTCATTTCGCCAACCGAGCGGACTCCGCCGTCCTTGACACAGCGGATGAGATCGCCCTTGGTCACATTGTGACAGCTGCAGACCTGTGCTTCGTCGGGAAGATCATCGCCTTCTTCTTCGCCTTCCTTCTTGGCTCCGATGATGAGCTCAGCGGGCGGCTTCTCGATAGCAGCGCCCTTGTTGCAAAGTGCCACGAGCTTGACATAGTCCTTGACATCGCCGACCATCATGCCGCCCAGAAGGTACTTGCCATCAGCCGTGAAGATGTACTTCTTGTACACGTCCGAGAAGGGGTCGCGGTAAGTGAGCGCCTTGACCGACTTCTTGACTTCGTCCGCTGTCATGGAAACCGCAGCAGCGCTCACTTTTCCCCGCTTTGGAGCACCGGAAACGGGAAGAGGCTTGCTGATCTTGCCTTGGTCGGCGAAGAAGTCACCGAAGGACGCAACGTCGACGCCCATCAGTTTGAGCTTGGTGGACACGTCAGGCGACTTCATCTTGCGCATGGCATGATGCGGACCTTCCGTCAGATTGAAAGCGAGGACTTCGGCCATCTCGATACCGGGTGCGATGAGGCCGTACGTCTGGTCTTCGAACGACGCACATTCACCGATCGCATAAACGCCGGGCACGCCGGTGCGGAGCTGGTCGTCGACGACGAAACCTCCGCCGCGCTTCTGGACTTCGAGTCCCGGCACTTGGTTGGAGAGCTCGTCACGAGGCTTGATGCCAACGGCGAAAACCAGCATGTCAACGTCAAAAGGTTCGTCCGGGTTGCCATCGTTGCCTTGCATCATCATGGCCGTCAAACGGCCGTCCTCGGACCAGATGAGGTCGCGGACGCGGCCCTGGAGGAGGACCTCGACTCCGAGGTCACGAACCTTCTGCAAGACGAGCGTACCGCCCTCCTGGTCGAGCTGTCGAGATAGAACCCATCGATTGCGCTCGACCAAAACAACTTGGTCGACCTCCTCAAGGTCAAGGAGCGCTTTGGCAGCTTCGAGTCCCAAGAGACCTCCTCCGATCACACCCGCCTTGCGGATGCGGCGGCCGAGGGTCTTTGGCGCATCCACTGCGTAAGCAATGATATCGTCGAGGTCTTTGATGGTGCGGTAGACAAAGGTGCCCTTTGTGCTGTAGAATTGATCTCTTGTGATATAAGGCGGTAGCGAGGCGTCGGAACCAGTGGCAAGGATGCACTCATCGTAGGAGAACTCAATTCCGCGTTGTGTGCGCACCTGCTTCTTCTCGGCGTCGATGGCCACCACAGGGTCCGAGGTGTGGTATGTGAGCTTGCCTTTTGCGTGCGAGCTGTACCAGTTGAGCTCGTTGAGGTAGAGCGACTCGATGGAGCGGTTTGCGAAATACTGCGTGAGTCCGACACGGTTGTAGGCGATGTGAGGCTCTTCGCCAAAGACGGTGATCTCCCATTCGTCGCGGCCACCTTGAAGGTCATACTTGAGCAGCTTCTCGATGAAAGCGATACCGACCATGCCGAGGCCGACGACGCATGCCTTCTTTCTGGTTTTGGAGACGAGCGAGAGCTCGGGTGTGGTTGCTCTCGTCGAGCCAGAGGCTGAGCTCGTTGGGCCGGACGCAGTCCAGCCTGCCGTTTCGGTGGGTACGGGTGCCATTACTCTTACGCTTCAGCAGGCCGCCTTTTGCTCCCTGCAGTGAAGAGAATGATAGTAAGGTACGAAGGAGGCAGATGTTGATGATGATGTGCGAAGTATAGGTGGCGAGCAATGAGGTGAGTGGGTAGAAGAAGATCTGGAGAGAGTTCGCAGCTTGCCTTCTTGTCAGCTTGAGGTCCTACGGCGAGACTTGGGTTCGTACATGTGCTCTTAGCTCAAGACGGTCACTTCAAAGTTCGCTCTGCGACTATCAGGGGAGACGCGCTTCTCGGCTACCACACGGAGGCTCATTTCGCGCTAGCCCGGGGTGACACCACTGCGAGGCTGTGATTTCCAATCTTTCCGCAAAGTGCGTGCGGAAAGATGCGGAGAATAGCGGGGTGATAAGATGAGGATCCAGGCTTTGCTTTACCGGGCCGTCTTCGCATCCTCTGCTGCTTGCTCGCCTCTGTTCATGCGGCCCTTCTCCCGGCACGCGGTGAAGCGGGAGCGCGAGGCGGCATGAGGCGCGACTTCGAAATTTCCTTCGGCAGGCAGAAGATGCACAAGTCAAAGAGCGCTAGCCGACACGCGTTGCTGCGCGATAAGGGACGTGAGACCCAGACGCAGAGATAAGAAGCTACGGAAGCCTTCCAACCGCCGCCTAAGCCCATGGCTGTCTGCCCGCTCCCGGCACCCTGACCAGGCCCTGTCAGTGGCGGTGCATCGCAGCTCGGCTCCACTGACTGTGATGCTCGACTCTCGATCGCACCCAGAAGATAAGCTCGTTCCTACCCCTCGACGTCTTCTTGAGACAAGTCCCGCACGCCTCCAGATCAGCATCTCTCATCCCTTCACACCAATCATAGCCCTCGCTCACATCAGCTTGGGCGTGAGTAATCTCCGCTTTCGCCGCAGCGTCTGTCGCACGACCTCTTCGACCCATCGTTCGCGATAAGCAACCAACAAGCCACGATCGTTTTCCCCGTCATTCACCCAGATCTGAGTCTGCACGGCGTTTCTCACGGCCGCGATTACGAAGCCCCGACTGCTGCGTCAGGATAAGGAGCCTCATTCCGGGTCTTACAACGTGGCCTCTTTCGGCATCTCACGCTTCTAATTGGTGGCTGGCAAGGTCCCGAGGGCCTCGGTCGTCGAAGCTCGGCGGTGCAAGCAGCCGCCATCTAATCTCGAAGCGGAGATTAACCGCAGACAGCACAAACTGAAGCATCTGATTGGTTCAGACTGATCCCTCATCAGTAGAATGATCTCTTGTCCGAGGCTGCCTTGGCTGCCAAGGATGCTTCGCCTCATTCTTGATCGATGTGTGCAGATGCTACCGAGATGCACGTCACAAGGCAAGGTAAGAGCTCACTTCTGGAGAGAGGAATTTGACGGCACGCTCGGGCGAAAGGACCCGCACAGTCAGGCGTAAAAGAAGGAGCTGGTTCGGTCCGGTTTCCGTCTTATCTTTGCGCAACGTCTCGTGGCAGCAGCGGTCGAGGCCAAAGGCTACGGTGCTCACAAAAGAATCGTTGCTTGACCTGATGGCTGCAAGGTCTGGAACCGAATCCTCTGCCTTGGAGCGCCGATCGGAACGCCGAGAAGATCCCGCTCCCTTCTTCGCGACAAATCGATCTTATCTTTCAGCCAGCTATGTCTGAGGTTGGTCGCCCTTTCACGCCTTGAGAACAGCCTCGGTGCCGTTCGAACGCCAAGCTTGTTTCCCTTCTCACAACCAGTCACAAAGCCTTGCGGGTACGCAGGAATCGTCTCCGCATTACTTCGGAGCCTCTTCCCTGCGCTTCGACCATTGGCTATATCAAAAGCATCTTTCTCCAACTTTATTCCTCTTTGGGTTTGTCTTCCAGCAACACTAATTTACTCTCCTGCACAGAGTTCGATACCCCCTCGTCAACATGACTATCGAGGACGAAAAGGCTGTGCGAGGCGACATGTCGCGGTCGTCGCCCTCGTCATCCAATGCATCCAAGACTGATCTCGAGATCACCGAGGCCATCGCTGCACCTGTCTCCGAACACGCCGGCATGGCAACTATGCTCCGCATGGGTACCAACACCGGCGGTGTGGTCACCTCGGAAGAATACATGACCGAGGACGAAAAGGCCGCCAAGGCGCTGAAGGACTTTGGGTACCATGGCTTTCAATGGTCCTCCCTCTGGCGGCCTGCCGAGATCAACCCGCTCAACGGCAAGTCGTACACCTTCCCGATCTTCCGCATTCTCGACGTGTACTCGACATCGTTCTGGTTGGCAACGCTCGGATTCTTTGTTGCCTTCCTCAGCTGGTTCGCGTTCAGTCCGCTCGTGCCCGAGGCAGTCAAGGCCGATCTGAAGCTCACCTCGGTCCAGGTGACGCACTCAAACATGGCCTCGCTTGGAGGCACGGCGATCGTGCGCATCATCGCAGGCCCAGCGTGTGACAGATTCGGTCCACGAAAGGTCATGGCTGCTCTGCTTGTTCTCGGCGCCATTCCGTCTGGCCTGGCGGCAGTGGTCAAGACCAGCGAGGGGCTGTATGCGGTCCGTTTCTTCATCAGCATTCTCGGAGCCACGTTCGTCACGTGTCAGGCTTGGGTCTCGACGTTCTTCGACAAGTCGATCGTGGGGACTGCGAATGCATTCTCGGGAGGATGGGGCAACATGGGCGGTGGTGTGACAACGGCTGCGATGATCGGCCTGTTCGAGCGCTATCGTAAGGCAGGACTTTCGTCGCACCTCGCATGGCGTGTCTGCTTCCCCACTCTTCCTGTTCCTTGCCTCTTGCTCGTAGCAGCGGCGATTCTCATGTTCGGAAAGGACCACCCTGCGGGCAAGTGGAGTCAGCGACACATGTTCAGCGGTACTGCTGTGGCCATTGCACAAGGCGAACACGTCGAGCTTGACGCCTCGGAGCGGGCCGAGTATGCCCGTACAACTGCGGACAACGAAAAGGCTCCTGCCAAAGGCGCAAACTTTCGCGAGGCTGACCCTGCGGATGCAGGCAAGCGTGTTGCGACGGTCGACACTGCGCAATCGGAGCCTCTGACGCTGGCACGACTTGCGGTGATCCTTGCAGACCCACGTGTGTGGATGTGCATCATGTGCTATCTCCTCACCTTTGGCCTCGAGACTGCCATGGACGCGGCCCTTCCCGGTCTCATCACCACCCTCTTCCAGTCCAAGACTTTCACCGCCATCGACGCCGCGTACGCCGCGTCCATGTACGGACTGCTCAACCTCTACGCCCGACCCCTCGGCGGCGTCGTCTCTGACATCCTCTTCTCCAAGTACGGCCTGCGCGGCCGAGTCATCTGGCTCCTCGTCACCGCTTTCTCCCAAGGCGTAGCCATGATCGGCATGGGAGTCTACTGCAATCGCGACCCCACACTTGGCGGCGTGCTGGCATTCATTTTCCTCATTGGTACTACTGGCTTCTTGGCTAACGGTGCCAACTACGGTATCCCTGCCATCATCTGTCCCTCGGCCATCGGCACCGTCTCGGGTCTAGTTGGCGCCGGAGGCAACTTGGGCGGTCTGCTGTACTTGGGCATCTTCCTCGCGGTGCCCGGTGTGAGGGCCAAGAAGACGCTCGGAACAAAGTTTTGGATCGCAGGCGTCGTCAACGCCGGCGCAGTCCTTCCCTTCTTCCTCGTGCTATTGCCGGGAAAGTATGGAATGTAGGTCAAAATCTCACCAGATGCTCGATACTCATGGTGAAGGAATAGAATGTCACCATACATCGAATCATTTCAGAGGGTCGCGGTGCGTGCGCGTCGCCTTGTTTGCTCCAAGCTCTTAGAGCGAACGAGTTGAGCGAGTCATTTGAGCACAGAGGTTGTGTGGACGAGATCTGCGAACGGCGGTATTGAGGAACGACTTCGCGAACCGAGCAGATGAGCTGCACTGCGCAATCGATCTGAGCTGTGCAAAATTAAGAGCGACGCGAAAGACCGAGTTGAGCGAACGAGCTGCGCTGTGCGGACTAGACCTGCGAGCGATGGATCTGCAAACGAGGATCTCTGCGAAACATTGAGCGAACAGAGAGTTGAGCGAGTCAGGAGCTGAGCGGAAGACGAAGCCGAGCGGACGACAGACAGAGTGAAGTGGACGACGGAGTGAAGCGCACGACAGAGTTGTGCGGACGACAGAGCGAAGCAGACGACAAATTTGAGCGTTAAAGCAGAGTCGAGCGGACGAGGAGCTGAGCGGAAGAGGAGCTGTGCAATTGGGAGGATAACGAGCCGAGCGAACGACAGATCTGCGAACCACGGAGCGAGCTCAGCAAAGGTATCATGCGAACAAAGCAGCTCGGCAAACGACAAGGCTGAGCGAACCCCAGATTCGAACGGACGACAGGGTTGAGCGTCGAGCTCAGTGTGTGTGTGCCAGCTTCGCGTATGCGAACGAGGAGCCCTAACGCGCTGTGCGAACAAGCTGAGCTCAGCAGGCGAGCTGTGCGAGCGGACAAGCTGTGCAAGCGGACAAGCTG